GATCCCAAACCAGAGAGCCCAGAGCTCCCCACAGCTCATCCAACCCCCCCTGATCCCAAACCAGAGAGCTCAGAGCTCCCCACAGCTCATCCAACCCCCCCTGATCCCAAGCCAGAGAGCCCAGAGCTCCCCACAGCTCATCCAACCCCCCCTGATCCCAAACCAGAGAGCTCAGAGCTCCCCACAGCTCATCCAACCCCGCCCTGATCCCAAACCAGAGAGCCCAGAGCTCCCCGTCGGAGAACAAAGACCATCTCTCCCAGGGATCATCCATCCCTCACCTCTCCTCCCTCAACAATCCCTCTCCCACTCTCCCCACTTCAATTATTTTCATAGAATCACAGAATCCCAGACTGGTCTAGGTTGGGAGGGACCTCAAAGCTCATCCAGTCCCAACCCCCCTGCCAGCAGCAGGGACACCTTCCACTAGACCAGGTTGCTCAAAGCCTCATCCAGCCTGGCCGAGAACACTTCCAGGGAGGAGCAGCCACAGCTTCTCTGGCCAACCTGGGACACTGTCTCACCACCCTCACACCAAACAATTTCTTCCTCACATCTCAGCTCCATCTCCCCTCTGCCACTTTCAAGCCATCACCCCTTGTTCTCTCACTCCCTGCCCTTGGCCAAAGTCCCTCCCCAGCTTCCTGGAGCCCCTTCAGGTACTGGGAGGCCACTAGAAGGTCTCCCCGGAGCCTTCTCTTCTCCAGGCTGAACAGCCCCAACTCTCTCAGCCTGTCCTCACAGCAGAGCTGCTCCAGCCCTCACATCACCCTGGTGGCCTCCTCTGGACTCGTTCTAGCCAAGTTGTTTTGAGAGAGAACAAGAAATTTCTGACCTTGGTGTTGGCCCGTGACTCGATCCTTGGGCATGTGGGTATTGACCACGGGTCCTGCCTGGAGAAAGAGCTCCCAGAGCAGCGGCTCGCTGACCTTCTCATCCAGCCCCCCGACGTACACCGTCGCGTCTGGAGACCCGGGGGAAGAAACACCCAGCTCGAGACACCAGCCCAGGAAGGGGTAAGTCTCACCTGGGCTCAGACTTGACACCAAAATCACCCCAGATCTCCCTTCAACTTTTAAGATCCCCCCCAAATTACACCCTGAACCAAGGAGGTCC